GTTTAGTTATTAGTAGTAATTCTCTCTCTCTCTCTCTCTCTCTCTCTCTCTCTCTCTTTGTCCTCCCTCACCTTCCAGCCTATGTTTCATCTATTTGTGTATTTTTCCACTTTTGCTGCTTTGGCACTACTGTGTGTCTGTGCCCGTGTATCAATTTTCCACCATTCTTCCTCATATTTCATCTAGTGAACACAGGATTTTCAACAGTGGCTATTGATTTTGGGTCAGCTCAGTTTTGGGATACCTATGTGGAGGGCCTGATTTTTCAGAGGGAAGTTTCAGACAGTGCTGAGCAAATACCTTTTAAGGCATATCCGTTTGAGCACCAAAAAACTGAAGCATCCCCCCAAAATCACTGGTAACTTTTGAAAATCTTGGCCATTGAATACACACTGGGTCTGAGTCTCTACTCCTTTACACTATTTTACACTGCTGTGACTACATTGACTTCAGCAGAGGCACACTGATGTAAAACTGCTGTAATGCATGCAGTAGAGAATTAGCTCCATCCTCTCTGGAAAGAGGGATTTTTTTCTTATCCTTTGAACTAATGTCTCACATACAGTTTACACATTTTTACAAATAGACATCATCAGGGCTTAAATTCTCTTAGAGTTTCTGGGAGGCCCCCCACCCTTGCTATACAAACTTCTGAGGATTGAAAATATTCTGCTCCAGACAGCTCCGACTGAATTTAAGCCCTGGACATCATCCTCAATTGATTTACCTTATTCAGCATCTCTGCCTAATATTCACAGTATGCAGCCTGGGAAGGTTAAGTATGCATGTGAATTACAACTTCGTGGCCTCTTTATGACCAGCCTGTGGACAAATGTCTGCAAATCGATAACATGATGTGATCTCTTCAGCTATGTGTTTACTCTGTTTTACTGTCTGTGAGTGATCGTAATGTAAATCACTAAAAGCAAAAAACAAATGAGCAAACTGAACACTAGTAATGTGGGACTTTCTATTAGCTAAACACTGACGGTGTGTAAGGAGAAGGATATAAATATGCAAACGATATCTGCATTTCCTATTTTCTTTCCTCCTCCCTCCCTGCCCCTACCTCCCCCCCCCCCCGCTCCCTCTTGCTTCCACTAACTTACTATACATGCAATTTAACTTGTGCTGCAACGGAAGGGGAATATTAAAAACAATCTAGCTAGGCCCTCTTCATCTGCTTGTATACAACAATTGGAAATACGTACTCTCATTATAATACACCAGACTCTACTATCATACAATGGACTATGGTACTGATGAGTGACTAGGAAAATGTATATTAACTGAATTGCATTTTGTGCTGTGCAGGCGGCAAACTGTTTAACCAGAACAGATATATTATGGGTTAACTTTGCTTAAGAGCTTGACTATTGAGCAGCTGGCCATGGTTCTTTTTTTGTAACTAAATTAATAATATATAACTTTTTTATTAAGTCACAGATTGCCTTGTTCCACATGTTGAAGATGCAGAGGTTCATAACAAGACATACAGGACTGGAGATAAGTTAATAATCAGTTGTCATGAAGGATTCCAGATCCGTTACCCCGACTTAGACAACATGGTTTCAATATGTCAAGATGATGGAATGTGGGATAATCTGCCCATTTGTCAAGGTATAGTACCCCAGAACACCTTATTTTATAGCTCTTACACCTTGTAATTCTTTACCAGCACTTTTTTCTGCGGCTAAAGAGGATAGCAATAAGCTGATAGATTCAACTGTACAGTATTTTTATAAAGGCTTTTGGATTTGCTCATCTCTATTATTCGCTTTTGGAAGTAAAATTCCACATTCCAGCATAGCTTTAAAATATGTTAAATGTTACTTTTTGCTAGTCTAAAATCTGAGGCGGGCATATCCTTTTTTTTAATGAAAGAGGTTGAAATTCACCCCTGTTAGGTCAGCACAAGGCCCTTTGGACCACCTAAACCTGTGCACTACTTCATTTAGTGAAAGAATTAGGTTTTTTTAATGCTTTTCGCTTCGTTAGCCCTGCAGAGCTGATGCAACTAGGAGAGAACAAGTTAGAGTCTATTCCATCTTGTGCATTATCAACTGAATGGTTCACCAGGTTTTAAATCAGTTACACCCATGGATACTGACTGAACACTCTGCAGTTGCACAGGGCCTAATTTGGCCAGCAGAGCCATTAGTGCTAGTGATGGTGTATGAGAAGGAGACAGCTTGAGTTTGTCTAGACTTGAGAAGAGTGATTGAGGCTAGGCTGCCATTAGTGAACATGTGTTAAATACCCTGATCCTAACCCCAGCCCTTTTCTCTTGTATGGCCACAGATTAGCACCTTTAACCTCAATTTAGCTAGTTGAGGTTGATCCTAGGCTCCCCTGGGGTTAGTCTTGACCATTTTAGTCAAGACAAAAGGTGTTAACCTGCGTCTGCACCAAGGGAAAGACTAGGATTGGCTAACCTTGACCTCTTTTCCTTATCTAGACAGGCCGTCTGTGTGTAATACAATTTAGAAAAGTATACTGTCATTTTGGGTTTGGACGTGAGAGTGCTGAGTCCGCTTTGAGTTGAAATCCAATGTGAATCGCAGATGCCCATCCGCTTTCAAGTTATTTCCATACATTTGGAACACATCTGGAAATGCAGTAATGAACTATTGTATTTTTAATGGCGTTGGGGATTGCCGAAAGCATTGAACACTAAGACTTGTCAGCATGGTGCATGTGTATTTTTTGTCAGTTTGATAGTTCCTATTATTCTGTAAATCTTTTTTAAAATGCAGGGAGAGCAGAAAAATAATCAAATTTCACTTAACAGACGGTTCCTAAATATGCTGTGGCCAAATAGAAGATAAAACAAGACCTCGAGTGATTAATTCTGGCTTTATTTTTTTTTTAATTTAACCTGCCGCAGAGTCTCTACATATTTCACAAAGAAAGGTCTGATAGCTGCCATGTGGCACCAGCATGTTGAAGTTGGGCAGCTGCCATAGCCCAATATTGCTTTGCACATATCTTAGAGATTAAATAAATTGTATCTGTAGATGCTAGCAGAAAAAGCAGAACCCTTAAGAAAATCACCTTTTCCAGTCAAAATGGTGAATGCACTTTGCACCATCGCATGCTGGTGCAAGGGGCATTTGTGTGTAGTGGTTTTAAGTGCCCCTGCCATTTTTAAACAAACAATGACAGACTCAAACACTATTTGTTTTGCACTTAAGGGACTTGCTCACACAGTTTACAGGTGGAATTTTTCTGGGCTATTATTCAGATGAACAGTCGTATCCATTGCTTTCCTCCAGTGTGATATCAAAGCCATGGAACAGAAGACAACTGCTGCTACACACACCTCAGCTGCAGTGGATTGATAGCGCTTCCTAAACACACACCTCAGTTCTCCTCCTGCTTAATTCAACATTAACCACATTTTAAAAGTAAATTTAGTGCAAGTAAGCGGTATGAAATCTGGTATCTACGAAACAGGTACAGAACAGGCAATAACAGTGCAGGCTTCCTTACGTTGCTCTCCAGTGGTTCTCAAGTCTTGTTGTGGAGTTAGCAGCTGTTCCAGGTGCCTCCGGTCTGTTAGGATTGCCATCATGAGTGCTAAATATGAGGTGAGCACTTGTCCACTAGGACATGGACCACCAGCTCATTTTAGATAGCCCACCAATTACTGTGGACCCGATTCTCATTACACTAAGGCCCCTTTCAAGTTGTCAGAGCAGTGTAAAGAGGTCTTGGCATAAATGAGAAATGGGACCAATGATTTTAGGCATTAGACAGTACTGGGATGGATTTAAGTTAACTAGACGTAAATGGCTTTGTTTTCTAATACCAACCCCAAGTTAGCAATTTTAGCAAAGGAAAAAACAGTGAAAAATTGTTAGAGTAGATAAAGTTAATTTGTTTAAAAATAGGGGGAAATGTATATGACCTTCTAATTATATTTTTGGGTGAGAGAGGCTGAGTCTGGTAACTAAGGCCCAGATCCTCAAAGGTATTTCGGTGCCCAACTCTGATAGATTTCAGTTAGGTGCCTAAATACTTTTGAAGATCAGGGCCTAGATGGCAACAAACCTTAAGTGCAAAGCATAAGTGTAGCCCATAAATCTGATCACATCTGACTTTGGGGATACCTGCCCTGGAGCTGGAGGTGTGACTGTCAGTCCAAGTAGACATACCTCCGCTAGCTCTGATTGATCGAGCACGCTAAAAATAGAAGCATTGCTGTGATGGCACAAGCAGCAAGATAGACTAGCCACCTGAGTATGAGATGCTCCTCAGGGCAGCCAGCACCTTCCACCACTTGCGCTGCTGTGGCTTCACTTCTATTTTTAGGGTGCTAGTTCAATCAAAGCTAGCATTGGTATATCTACCTGAGTTGCAATTACACCTTCAGCTCCAGTGTAAGCATACCCTTCACGAGTGCATTTGTCTGATGTGAAATTTTGGGCTGATTTGGGAAAACACCCTCCCTAGTTGCTGAATGACAGGATTTTAAAGGGGAAAAAGTTTGCTGGATCACTAAGAATTGTGAACCACTGGACGATGCCACCCTCTTTCTTGTTTTTTAAGATGAATTCTTGTGGAATTAAAGTTTCCATGCTTCTGGTGAAAATGGGAGGCTCCTTGTTTCTGGGTTAGACCTTCATTTAACTGTACCAGAAGATTGATATTTTTTTTTCATACTTTTTTTATATACTGTGCTCTGTGAAACTTACATTTTGGAGGGGTCCTCCCTCCAAACTCTCTTGCCTCCAGAAATGGGAGACCGTCTTTCTGTGAACCCAGATTAAATGTCTGAGGAAAGGGCAGGTTAAATTTTCTATAGCGCTGTGAACTGGGTGCTCATATGTAATATGATTTTCTGCATGTCATGTACAGTCACATAAGGAATTATAACCAGGCTTTAATACTACATTTCACAATGTACTTTTAAAATTTGCACTTACGCAGTGGTCCGTTGGGGCCTGTGCATCGGAGCTCTGTCATCTTTATCTGGAAATCCAAACAAAACCTTGTCTGAACTTAGTCACGTAGGACCAGATTGTCAAACGTATTTATTTAGGTGTCTTCAGATGCATATACACACTTAGTGGGATTGTTAAAGCACCTGTTGAAAATCTCAGTAGATGCCTACCTTCTTCTTTAGGGGTGTAAATACCTTTAGAAATCTGGCCAAGAAGCCAAATTCACCCTGGTATAATTCCATTGTAGGTAAACTTACCCCATTTAATAGTCTGGACTCTTTGCCTGCAGAAGTGCATGTGTTTTATATTTGGTACATAAGAGGAGGTAATAGCAATAAATAGGGCCATTGTGGCTCTATTTGAGCAAAGGGGATTCATGAACTAGTAAAACTACTATTAAAAGCCGTTGTGCTGAGGGCTGAACGTGCTGCAACAGGTTTCCGTCCTCTCTCCCCCTCCCCCAATGGCCAGTGCCCTGAATTATTCTCTGCCTTTGGATTAGTTAGAAGCTGTTTCTTTAAAGTGGTGGCTTGGCATCTCAAGAAAAGGGAGTTGAAGGTACCCAGCACTTTGCAGGATGTACTCAAATTGGAAGATCTGTCCTGTGGCTTTTATTTTGATAAAGTACGACTTTAATTTTTTACAGTTTGTCTAAGAAGGCTTGAAATTATGGGAATCCATGTGACCTTCCTTCTGGAATTCCTGATAGTGACAAGAGGCCTATTAACGGTGGTTATTGCCACAACAAACAGCTTCTATTAGTCTCATAAATTTTCATAAGGGTTTTTTCATTCCCAGATTGCTAATCATCGTTCCTCAAAATCATTGCAAGCTAAAAATCAACACCATTAGTCATTACCAAGAGGGTCATTTTTTAAGGCAGTGAGCAAAATAATTCTAGTTTATTTCAGTACACAACTTGAAATCTCAAGTCTCAATATCCACTCAGAACATTGTTTGCACACATGTGAATCAAATATTAGAAAGTCGTGAGTGATCATGTAGTGAATTTCCTTTTAGTCCAAATGTCATCTCATTTGTGACGCCAACTGCTGTCAATTCCCCCTCTAGGGTGCCAAAATTACAAAGTCTGCCTGGAGTTAATCACTCTGGGCCAAATTCATCCCTGGTGTAACTCCACTGAAGGTAAATTTGTCCCTTTCTAGATCGGCTGTGGCCACTGTTCTCAAAAATGACTGATGAGTTTAGGTGCCTCCATTTTTGGGTGCCCAATCTGAAACACCTGGAAGGGCCTGATTTCCGGAAGGTGAGCGCACTGAGCACTTGCTGAAAATCCAGCTCCTCTAAATTATCTCAAATTGGGGTCCCAAAATCACTACTCATGTTTGAAATCTTGGCCTCTTTTGCTGCTCTGCACATCTCGTAACAGCATCAATTTCAGTATTAAACATAACCTCTGTGACTGCCTGTTTGAGGAGAGGAATAAAACCCATGGTTTTGTATAAGTGACAGTCTTTGTTTATTAAGGATTCCACCTCATAATAAGTGACAACTGCTAATCCGGTGAATGTGTGGGTGTGCAAAACAAAACATTGCAATTGTCATTAATGCTATGTTGGATTTGCAGAGGATATATCTTATCTTGGCAGAATGTGTGGGCTAAGCAATAAAAGAACTTGAAATGAGGTAATGACAATCTCTCTCTTAGATGCTCAATGAAGTAGGAATGCCATTCGCTGTGGGGAGGATGGGAAATATTGTGCTTCTCAACTTGAGAACCATAATCAAGATGTTACAATGACTAAGACAAGCGCCTCATAATAAAAGATACCTTCCTCTTCTTAATTTGCAGGTTGCCTGAGGCCATTGGTTCTTCCTCATAGTTACATTAACATATCTGAGTTCGAGTCCTCCTTCCCAGTAGGAACAGTGGTATATTATCAGTGCTTTCCTGGATATAAACTAAAGGGGACAAAGTTCCTTGAGTGCATGTATAACCTTATCTGGTCACATAGCTCACCTAGGTGCCTTGATGTGGAAGGTAAAACAGCTTATTTGTTTGTTTTTAATTTTGGACAATTTAACATGATATATTTTATTTGAATTTAGGGCTACAATTTTTAGCTCCATTTTGCCCACTGCCTCCTGAGGACATACAAAGTGCATCCATTCAAGTTCCTGTTTTGTTGTACGTATACTGTGTAATCTGGAACATCGCATAGCTTAATTGTTAAAGTTACTTACATAATGTTTGCTCTTTCGGTATCGTAATCATAATAGCTGAAGATTGTAACAACGAAGACTGTTAGTTTTTAGATTTTAAGTATAAACAATGTAATCTGCTGTCTTTCTAATGAAATGCTGAGAAAGTTAATGAATCTATATTCACATGACAGCCTGAGTAGCTGAAAATTTCAGCACCATACCATTCTGAACTAAAAGCATTTGTAAATATTAAGTATCAAGTTTCATTTCAGCCTGCATGCCAGGTGTATGCACAATCTAATACTGCATGATTTTGCATTAAGAATATTTGATGTACTATCCAAAAGTATTGGAGTGTTTCTTATTTTTAATTAGCAGTCTGGTTTCCAAAATTCTAAAAGGGCTTTGCAGTGTAAGGGTTCCACCTACAGGAATTGATTTTCTGATCTAACATCCTAGAAATTTAACCACAAAACAGCCCTGCATAAATCATCTTTCTTTTTATTTTTTGTAGTATATGTAATACAGTGTTACAGATAAAATTATTAGAAAGAGAGACTGCCTGTCAGATACCATAAAAGAAATTACAAAATGAAGCAGGATAAGCCAGAAGAAAGTCTGTGTGTTAGATAGGAGCATTAAAACCCACAAACACAAACATACGAAACTGAAAATTTTGTATGTGTCATTTCCCTGTGCTCACTTAACACAGATGACAGTCTGAACTGCCTCTTCCAGCTCTCGTCAAAGTACATAGCAAAACTCCCATTGACTTTAATGGGGGCATGGATCATTTGTATTATATTAACACCTAGAGCTCCATTGTGGAAGGCTTCTTAAAAGTATACAGAGAGTACGAGAGAACCCCTGCCCTGAAGATTTTGCAGTCTAAATAGACACAACAAAGAAAGGGTGGGAGGAGAGGCAAAGTAGTAGTATCCCCAATTCACAGATGGGGAACTGAGACAGAGATTAAGTGCCTTGCCCAGGGTCATACAGGAAGTTTGTGGCAGAGTGGGGAATTGAACCTAAACCTCCTGAGTCCTGATCCAGTCCTTTAATCACAAGCTCATCCTTCCTCATGATCACTTTTGGCCCAGGGCTTGTTGTTCTGTTGTAACATTAAGACCAATTTTTTTCCTGGTGATTACTTGTAGAAACCCCATATATAAGGTGATGTACAATCTGAAACATTTGTGGTTTGTCTAAGAATGGGTTATTTTGACTTTGGGTCCTTTCTGTTTCCATATGGGTAGGACAGAGTCTTATAGCTGACAACTCCATTTCTCAGGTGTCATGTGGGACTGTTGTAACTGGAACTCACAGAACTTGTAAAGTTCCATCCAGCACCTGTAAATCAACTTTAGGTATTCACATTTGAAAATGTTGGCCTAAGTGACTTATTCAAGAAACATCAGACTTCGTCCTGTCTCCCATCCATTATAACCTCCCAGATCCTTTTCAACAGTACTGCCACTTAGCCAGTTATTCCCCATTTTGTAGCTATGCATTTGAGATTTCCTTCCAAAGTGAAATACTTTGCACTTGTCTTTATTGACTTTCATATTGTTGATTTCAGACCAATTCTTCAATTTTGTCAAGGTCCTTTTGAATTCTAATCCTGTCCTCCCAAGTACTTGCAACCTCTCCCAGCTTGGTTTCATCTTCAGATTTTATAAGCATACTCTCCACTCCATTATCCAAGTCATTTAATGAAAATATTGAATAGTACCAGACCCAGGACAGACATATACAGGACCCTACTAGAGAACCCTCTCAGTTTGACGGCATACTATTGATAACTACTTTGAGTGCAGTCTTTCAACCAGTTGAGCACCCACTTTATAGTAATTTAATCTCGACCACACTTCCCTAATTCACTTACAAGAACATCATGTGGAACTGTGTCAAAAGCCTTACTAAAATAAGATCCCTCACATCTATTGTTCTCCTCCCCCTGATCCCCATCTACTAGGCCGGTAACGCTGATGAAGGAAATTAGGTTGATTTGTCATGATTTGTTCTTGACAAATCCATGCTGGCTCTTCCTTATAATCCTGTTATCCTCCAGGTGCTTACAAATTGATTGTTTAATAATTTGTTCCAGTATCTTTCCAGGTATCAAAGTTAAGTGATTGATCTATACTTACTGGGGTCCTCTTTGTACCCCTTTTTAAAGATAGATATTGTATTTATCCTTTTTTAGTCCTCTGGAACCTCATCCGTCCTCCGTGAGTTCTCAAAGATAATTGCTAATGCCATAGTTAAGGTTGCTCAACACTCGCCATTATAAGATTCTGTTTTCAGTTGCTTATCATTCTTCTTTGAGTAGTGGCCCTATGTGGTCCCACTTCAGGTGTGCATGTGTCTCTCAAGCCCTTGATTGAAGGTTTCTAGCTAGCAATGTCCGTTTGGCCTGTGCATGTGCGTTATGCCTCTTCATGGCAGACACCGAGGCTGTCTAAATGTGTGTGGGGGGGGAACAGCCCTCACTTCCTTCTCTACTTCCTCACCAGTGTGCAAAAGGGCAAATAAGTACTGTTCTCTACTTTTGTTTTTCTTTTTTTACTTATGATGTCTCTATCTGAAAACCCATATAAATTGACACAAATTGCAAATTAAAACTTTTTTAAATGTATAAGCATTTTACTCACTTGGGCGCATTTGCCTCATGGCACACACATTTGAACTCTGCTTCAAAAATTTGCACAGAAGAAATTTTTCTTTTACCTTAATTATACTATCTTAGGAGCCTGCTATAACATAGTACCAAGGTTCAATACAAAGTCATATAAAAGTTATACAAAAATGCATAATGCAGAGATTTATCTACAACTGCATTGATTGACTGCTGTGTGCAGTAATATAGTGACCCCTGGACCTACAGGCTTCCACACACCATCAGTGCCTTGCTAGTGTGCCATGCGCCCTGAGATATCTCTTCTCTTTGTGTGTGACTGTGAGTGTTTCCCTTGTATGTGAATTTATTCAACAAAATCTTGAGCTTCATAATGGATACCATGAGTGAAAAGAAAAATTAGAAAAATAGAATCAGAGCACAGAGTTTTCAACACTGAATGGACAAATAAATACTTATGTACTATTTCCAAAGACAAAATACTGTGCCTCGTGTGTCGCGAAACGTTAGCCGTACCGAAAGAATGCAACCTTCGAAACTAAGCATCCCAATCTCGCCAAATTGAGCCCAAATGAAAAAATAATTAAAGCAGCCAGTTTAGCGAAAAACCTTCGAGAACAGCAAATTTTTCAAGAAAGTGAGCACTGAGAACGATAGTTACTAAAGTAAGCTTTAAAATTTCTAAGGAAATTGCTGCTGCTGGGAAATGCTTCACAGAAGGCGAGTTATTAAAAAAGTGTATGTTGATTGCTGTATCTGAGTTATGTCCAGAAAAGAGGGGAATATTTGAGAATGTCAGTCTATCATGCATGACTGTACGGAGAAGAATAGCTGACATTTCTACCAATCTAAGTGATCAGTTAAAGCAGAGAGTCAGTAAATTCTGCTTTTACTCCCTAGCTATGGACGAAAGCACTGATTTAAAAGACACCGCCCAACTTCTTATTTTCATTAGAGGTATTGATAAAAACTTTGAAATTACTGAAGAACTTGCTGGCATGTGCTCCACGACGGGTTGCACAACCGGAAAAGAGATCTTCAGTGAAGTGATAAAGTGCATGAATGATAAGTCGGGATTAGATTTCACAAACTTGGTGGCTATTTGTACTGCTGGTGCTCCAGCTATGTGCCCAAAAAATGTTGGAA